CCCCTAGTCCTCCCCGGCCGCACGGCCCCGTCCCCGCAGGGCGCCCCAGGGAGCACCCGGAGGGGAGGCGGTGTGCGGGGGGACTGCCCCGGGGATCCCGGCCGCCCTCGCTGCTTCCCGCCGCCCACGGAGCTGCGGCCCTCCGCCCTGCTGAGGCGGGGATGGGGACGGAGGGTGGCAGGCGAGCCGGGGCCTGCCAGACCCGCTCCTTGCCCTAGGGCTGCCGTTTTACGGGGCGTTATCGAGATATAAAACACCCGTGGGGGTGGGCTTCCAGCCCCACGGAAACGACGGGCTCCATTAGCGCAGCCGGAGCTCCGGCCCCGTCCTCACCTGGGTACTAACCCATGACGCCTCTTGACACAGCTTCGTTCACTCGCGGTTCCACATGGAGCGTTGCCGGTTTTAATTTATGGTTCTTGGCAGGTTGGGTAGCCGCTGCGTTTGTTTCCTAAGCTCCCCGTCAAATGGCTGGAGGGGCCAAGGGAATTGCCTAAGCCAGGCAGCAGAAAAATGCTGTTTGTTCAAAGGGGAGCGTTTTAAATCCAGGCCATGCCCTACCCACCGCATGGCAGTCACACGGCGGTTTCTGTGCCTGGCCTGCTCCAGGCAGTCTCGCTTCATTTTTTTCAGGGGATTGTTAGTCAGTGTTACTTTTGATAATACTGAGATAGGTGATTTTCCTGTAACAGTACTGTTATGGGAAAAAAATGGATTTATAAAGGCATTATTACAATCAGACTGCGCCAGGTCCCTGAGCGAAAATCTTTCTTGAACTTTCCAAGTGACTGTGGGGATACCACAATCAGTTTTGGTTGCATTTCCAAAAATATTCAACTGCACAGCTCTTGTTAACCAAAACCAGTACTGAACATGCGTGACACCTTGGCACGTGTGGCTCAAGGTGTATCTGGTAAGAGCACAAGTACTAAGCTTTTTGTGGACTTGAGATTTCCTTTTTCATTTAGCCACTAGTTTTATGACTTCAGGAAAGTAATTGTAAACGCATCAGTTCCTCAGTTTCTGCAACTATGAAGTGTAATCACAAGTTTTGGCTGCTGGGAACTGAAGGTGGTTGGGGATTTACTTGACAGGAAATAATTCTGTGTGATGTGGACCGATGGGATTGTAGCTCTAAGATGACGGCAATATTTACTTCATCTTTCTACAAGCTAGAAAACTCTGGGAAAAAAAAACCCAACCCTTCATTTTAATATATTGTCTGTTTTCATGTTGTGTTTGAGGGAAATTTTAAATCTGTACAGTAATTTCCTGCTGGTACCTAGTCAAACGCCACTGTGACATTTAGTCACACATGTCAGCTACAGACTCAATTAAACAGATCACTAGATTACTGCACAGGTTTGGAGCTGCTCGTGGACTTTAACGCCTGATACGATCTCTCACATCAAAGTGAGCGTGTGTGTGCTTGTTTGAGCACCTATTTTTTTTCCTTATCTCTAACAGTAGTTTACTTCAGATGGCTGAGAAAACAACCAGAGGCCTGCAGGATGTCCCTGGCTCTTCTCCTGATGAAAATGAATTTCCTTTCGGCTATCCCACTAACATTTGTGAGGATGTGCCTGATCAGAAGTACCTGTGCAGCAACTGCAATAACGTTCTGAAGAAAGCCCTGCAAACGCTCTGTGGGCATAGGTACTGCTCAGCCTGCCTCTCCTGGATTGTACGGTAGGTCCTTGCTATGGAGGGTCACACCGCAGTGACGGATTCTGTGGCTGCAGGCACCCCTGAGAGCTGCGTTGTGCCAGTGTGCTCAGTAGATGAGTCTGTGGATACCTGGCCCGCTGGACTTCAGTCATTTTACTATCTGGAAGTACTTACCTGCGGTGGACTGCAGGCTGCTCTACCTTCTTGCTTCCAGTGTGGAAGTTTAGGGGTGGGGAAGGCTGGGTTACTGGGCTTAATAGATGTCAGTTTTCTATCTGGAAGCATGAGATAATGATTCTGAAGCTGAAGAACTAGTACAAGGCTGACTTAATACTTCCATGGGACTTTATAGTCCTTCGATATGTGATGTTATAGGATTTTAATAAACATTATCTTAGAGTTTTATTTTTAGTAACTCAGCTGGGTGACTATATGTTAAGGTGCTGCTGCCATTAGTGACAAACAATGACAGCCATTGTCGTGGACGACCTGAAAACGAGGAGCTGGGCGGGGATTTGCTTTAATTGATTAGCTGCTTCTATCTTGCCTTTTCTTTTGACAATTACACCTTGATCCAGAGCCTTTGGAAAAGGGTATGTCCGCCCTGCAGGTGAGAGTTGAAATTGCAGTACAATTCCATGAATATGAGCTGACTTTAGCTTTGATGTTTTGGAAAATAGCAGCTGTCGAGATTCAGTGACTGGGCTTTAGTACTGGCTAAGTAAGTCTAAAGCCTGTTACTGCGCTTCCTCATGGATGTTATTAGAAAGCTAGTTTGCGTGTGGCAATTCGTGCAGTCCCAGCTCTGATCACAGTGTGCAGAGGCACCTGAAAAGCTTGAGTCAAGGCACTGGCCACATGTGATTTGAAGATCAACGTATAATAATGTAAAAATATATTGAAATTAATACATTTGACCAAATTACATAAATCCATTACTGTGAATCTAGAACAAAGACCCTTAATGAAGCAACATAAACCGTAAACTCAGAAAACTTTCAGCAGAACATAACCGGAATTGTTATATCTCCCCACTAATGGGAAGCTGGCTCAAACAGGCTAATTAGTACAGTTTCAAATCAGTTATGCTGTGGTCGGAGGGATGCTTTTCTGATGAGCTTCTCAGTCTGTGTGAGTTCATTATTTACCTGGATCCTAAACAGCACTGGCAATGAAATACATCTCTACTGAAGGGGTTTTTTTTGCTTTTCCTGTATGCTAAATATTTTGAGAGTAGATCAAAACCTTTTTTAGCTGCAGTAGGGTGTTAACTCTCTAGAACTCAATTCTGCACTGGTTCTACTATATAATTTGAAGTCCATATTTCTATCTTGGGAAAATAGACATTTTCTATGTTTTAAAAGACTTTAGTTTTCATGTTACCTTTAATTCATGGTGTTTTTGCACAATTCATGAGATAAATAGGTTTCCGTCTTTACTGGTTTTTATGATCTAGGCTGCTCTTACTTTACTGCAATACAAATAAGATTTATGGGCCTAGTCCTAGTCTTGAGGAATAGAACAGCAGGGTTTTTTTGACATCAGTGTCTTCAAGAATTGGCCCTTTAATGAACAAGGACTGAGGATTCTGGAAATTACCATTTCCATGGTTTTGTTTGTGTCAGTATCTATACAAAGACCTCCTAAACTACAGTACGCCAGCTGATTGTTATTTCATTCTTTCTTTTGGCAGAAACAATAAAAATGCGATTTGCCAGAAATGTAAAGAGGAAGATCCCAGCACTTTAAGTGAGGGAAGCCTATTGGCAGAAGAAAGGGTAAGTTGTAGTTCACAGTTCATTAATTTATCATTAACCATTCTCTGGGCTACTCTATAGTCATCACTGGACTATAGTTGAGGAGTTAATAATATAAAATGTGATAGCAACTGATGGTTACACATTTTAACTTATGCTTTAGTCATGTGGATTTCCCACAGTTTTCGATTTAAAAAAGTATAATGGCAGCCTTAGGACTTTCCAAGTCCGTCAGGTTCTGCAACATAAAATCCCACACTATTCCATATAATTAACTTTTTGTCTCAAAGTAACTGGTGCTTTCCTACTTGTAATAATACGTCTTAGCTGTTACTACCCTTAGTAAGTATCCTAGTCTCGTGGTTCTCTGTACCCTTCAAACATGTTACCAAACCTAGAGGTAGAGCATCCCTAAGAAAAGCTAGAGTGTCGGCTAGCCGGCTGAATTGCCTAGAAAGTATTTTGACAGCCAAGGTATCTGGAGGAAATAGTGGAAGACATAGAGCTGAACATAATAACTGCTAAAAACTATGCCCTGGCAAATGTTTCATCTGTAATTTAACGGTGCACATCTCTTTAGCTGTTGTGTGATTTTTCCCAGCACACCGCTGCACTATTCTATATCCTGAATACAAACCGGGCCATAGGGCTCAGTCCCAGCTTGTGTTTTTGCCTTCTTTCTGATTATGTGCAGCAATACCAAGAGACACACATTCTGTCTAAATTTTGTAGGGAAAAATGAAACCCAATAGGCAGCTGGCAGAGAGGTAAAAGATGAAGTTTAGGAAGTGGTTGCAGCAAAATAATGAATCTGCTGTTAATGCTGAACTTGGTAATATCCCAGAAAAAATCCTAAATTCTGCAGTAAATTTCCCAGTAACAGAATTTCATGCATCATGTAACCACAGATAGGTACAGCTAAACCCTTAAGAACTTCTTACTCTATGTTAACTGTCAGTTCTCTTATAACTTTGGGATTTCTCTGCTGTGGGATTCTCACTAAGTCTGCTGGGACTTTCTGCAAAATCTGTGCGTGGGTTGTTGTAAACAGGGCCCCACTCTTGCAAGCTGATCTGCCTGGGCAGATTCTTTTGCCTGTTGAGAGTCCAGATGAAGTCAATCACCACGAAGGCGTGAGGATCTGCCTGTATAGATCAACTTACAACAAATGGTTGGAGTTTGTAAACAACACAAATAATGAAGATCATTTAGCAGGTTTATTTGTTATATCTATTCCTGATAATCTCTGCTTTACCTTTGTTATGGTTTTGCTTAATGTTTATTTCCTATGCTATCTGTTTATGTGTTTATATTTTTAAATAAGATACCCACACAAGGGAAAGAAAGGCCCTATCAGGATGTGTATTTGCCTTAGCTTATCCCAACATCTATTTCTGTGGTAACTCCCATCCCTTCCCTGTTACACTTTTAATTTATGATCACTTCCTCTGCAACATATACTTAAAGTCTTACGGTGCTGTTCATTGGTATCAGTTACTGAACATCTGCATCTGTCACTGAAATCAGTTAGAGGAGGGGGGGCATCCTCCCAAGCCTCTGCTCACACCCTATCTGCTGTCATTCATGGACCTGGCTTAGAGGACAGTTCTCTGCTCTGAATGGAACACGAACAGTTTTGTGGCTCTCCCATCTCTGGCTGTGTTAGAGTAACTGTAGATCCTGGTTCAGGCTCCAGAGGGCCAACATTAGCTGGAGAGAAAAAAACCACTAGATTTATCCTGGAAAGCTTTTGGTCCGATTGATCCATGTTGCTAGCTGATCTTCCTGACCACACAAGCTGTAGACCAGAGTCCTTCCTTAGCTAGAAGTCATAAGATACACATTGTGTGGGTCAGAGTGCCGGGGAGGAGTGCGTCTGGCAGTGTTTTTTTAGATGGGACGTGGCAGGGGACCTCCACTTGTGTCACAGCCAGCTCTGGGACAGGCAGGTCTGGGCAGGTATTTGTGCCACAACAGCCACCCATGCTCAACATCAGCAGGCCCTGCACCAACATCTTCCTTTGAAATACATAAAGTGAAAGAGCGGAGATGTGCAACTACAATATATCAAATCAGAGAGAAATATTTTCTGTTTCCTTCTGTTTGACCCTGAGCACTTTTATGTCAGTGAGAGTCATCTCATTTCCTGTATGAGGGTCTGACTCAGGTCTGTAAAGAAGTTTGTGCAAACTCAGGTTCCTAGATAAGAGTGCAGAGGTTCAGGTGAATATTTTGAAGCAGTGACCTGTGCAGATAAAAGAAGAGATGAGGATTTCTTGCCTTCTTTTTTACCTGAGTAGCGTCCATAATGATTTGGCAACTACATGTGTGAAACAAAAAGCACAGGGAATGCACACAGCAGTAAGAAACCCATGCACTGCTGGGACTGTCCCTGTAGTTAAATATATTTTAAATGATCTATTTTGTAATGTCAGGAAATTCCTTGAGTTTTTCTCTTATGACACAGGGGGAAAAAGCCACCATGTGCCTGATAACTTGAATTTCTTTGATTTTGCTCATAAATTAGACTAGAATGTTTCAGAGGATGGGGCTGGTACGCGTTCACTAATTGTACGTTGATTGCTAGCTTGTTACATAAACTCTTCCATATATGCAGATGGAGCCATACATGTTTTTGTACAACCTACATGATTATTTTTTAATTCTTTGTTTGTGGAGTTGTTTGCCATTTATGTGCAAAGTTCTGGACTTTGCTTGCAGATTGAGATTAGGGAATGAGTTTCTATGAGACTCTGTGTATAGAAATGTATATTTGTAGAATTGGCTGTGCTTCTTTTGTGTGATTAATACTACAAATGTAGGTAAGTACAAACATCTTTTATCTAAATTAAAAAAAACCAGTCAGGAATGTTGATTGTGATAATTTTGTTTGCTATTTTTTTTAGCTCATTGTGTAGAATTTCAGTAACTTTATTGAAGTGTGGGCATCATTTGTAAATACTTTCTCCCCTCTATTTGTAAAGCTTCCCCTCCCCGGTTCTTGCCTTCCTCTGTGGTGTTACATGGGAAATCTGCAGTCCTCTGTATTGTGTGCTCACCAACTAAAAACATGCCATTAACTTTAGTAGGGCTTGTTCTGGTGTCAGTGTACCTATTTTGATTGTGCAAGATGTAATATTAAAAGTGTGTAGCGTTTCATAATTTACATCATAATTGTACAATTTTTCATGGTTAACATAATAAGAAAGTCTATGTAGTGCAAAAAACCCCTACTCACATATGGTTTACATTTCTTTAGTACAGTGCCATACTAAATGGAAACAGCCATGGTCTGAGAAATGTACTCTCACTGCAGAACAGTCTCGAGTCCTCTCTGCACCGTGTTTAGAAGGTGTTAATGACCCCCATAGTGAAACGCATTCATTAAGAGTGGCACATGGCAGCACCCTATAGTTAGGGTCCTGTCAGCGCATTCATTGCATGTGACGCATTTCAGGCTTCTGTGAAAAGAAACTTAAAATAATAGCTGTAGTTGGCTAGGCATATTTTCAGTAAATTTATATCACATCAAATAGTTTATTTTTGAACCATAAGAAAGAAATTATTTAGTAATTATTTGGGCTTCTGCTACACTAAGATTAACTTGCTAGTTTAGAGAGTCTTATGGCAGTACCGTAAATTTAAAAAAAATAAGGGATTTATCAAGATCTGAAATTTTGACAGTCACGTTATTCCTATGTAAAAAATGCATGCTGGAGTACTTTCTGACCAGTGTTTTTTTCCTTACCGTGTTTACTTTCCAGGCTTTTGGTGATGCTGCCATTAATAAAGAGATTTCTGAACTCAAAGTACACTGTGTGACCCTTGGATGCAGTTGGTCTGGTATCATGAAAAATTTTGAAGTACGTTTAAACCTGCACTCTTACTTGAATGGGGACAGAAAGACAATGAAAATAGGTTCTCAGCAAACACAAATTAATGCAATGTCATTAGAATCAGCAAAGGTATCATGATTTATACCAACATGTCTAAAAACATGCCATTAACTTTAGTAGGGCTTTGACCAAATCCAGAACATCCTGAATGATTGTGAAATTAATGATGCACAAATTTATATGAACTATGATTTTTTTTTCCAGTGAGTTTACTTATTATTTAAATGTAAGCATGTTACAAGCAGGTTTTGACAGACCAGAATACCTCAGTCTCCAGGTCATTGTTATGGGCAATATCCTTAGTATGTTTTTGTAAGAGAAATTATTTCCTCCTGTGTAAATGGCTCGATTGAATATCTTCGTCAATCTTTTCAGACTGATGTGAAATGCCCCCGGTAAAATGTTTAAATGGGCAAAATTTGGGAATTTGCTATGCAAATTAGAATAATGAAAAAATGCAGATAATTCTGATACTAAAGCAGCTCTATTTTGGTCCCCTGGTGTAGGAACAGAGGGTCTTTCTGCATTTATAACAGGGAGTCTGCTGTGTACCTTGTATGACTGTGTATCTGATAAGCATCTGAGGTGGTGCTGCCTTTGCCTTGCTAATTTTGGACAAATTTTCTGTTTGACCGTATTCCTCTTTAAGGAAAAATCTACTCAGTTTGCTTAGCTTCATGGTTTTGAGAATTGGAGCCCCTCTCAGCATGAATACATGGCAAAATTGATTTGAGAGTTGGGCGTGTGATTGAAATGGGCATTTCTGAGCCTGTTCTGTAGGGGACAGCCATCTCCCTTTAAAGACAAAATCAGTTGTGACACAGTGCCTACAACAATCTTCAGTAAAAGAGGTCAGAGTAAATAGTTTTTATTGAAATACTGTGTTTTTAAGAATCTGAAAGTAGACCTGTTGGATGTAGTTACGAAAGAAGTAATGCTAATATTTTTCCTTGTTGAGAGGAGGCAAACAGTGAAAAGGAAATGTTTTTGAAGTTATTTTGAATATAGGTGAAGGTTGTGTCCTAATTGTTGCATAGAAGGCGTCAGCTGTCCATTCTTTCATGCTGTGCAGAGATGTCAGCAGACTAACCATATTCATCCTACCAGCCAGAGCAGGATGGTCTCGGTGCTCAAAAAACCCCATCCAAAACCCCAAAAAAAAAAAAAAAAAAGAAAAAAAAAACAACGTGAAAAACCCCAGGCTAAAAGTTAGGGATCCTCTAATACAAGGAAAAGAGCTGGGACCAGGATCATGTTGTTTTCAAACAAGAGCAACTAGGGAGAGACAGTTCAAGGGAGACCTCATGTTTGAATTTATCAAAAGTTGTTTGGTTGTTATACCTTTTTTTTTTAAGGTAAGAATTAACAAAAAAGCGCCAGTAAAGTTGGTGAATTTTTCACCAGTAATCTCGGTAACATTGTGGAGTGGGACTTTACCCAAGCTTAGAAGAAATGCAAAGCAAAGATCTAGGCTGGCAGAATGGAAACTATTTATAGATAAAAGTATCTCTGCAGTTTACATTTTGGTTTTTAACTTTTTACTTCCAGGAGCATCAGAGCTTATGTGAGTATGCTTTAATCCCGTGTCACACTGGTTGTGGACACATGGTGATGAGAAAGAAACTTGCAGATCATTTGGAAAATGGATGTGTTAATAATGTGACAATGTGTCAGAAGTGTAAGCGGAGCTTATCCAGTAGTGAATACCAAGTAAGAACATTTCTTTGTTTCAAATGAAGGCTTTATATTACTGGCTTAAATAATCTATCATGACATTTTTCATCCTGATTTCATGAATGCTATTGCATTTGGAGAATATTTCATTTTCCTGAGTTGGCTAATTTTTCCATGCATGTGTTGGAGGGAAAAAAGAGCTGTATTTGATAGTCGCTTGTGATGTTACAACAGAGAGGGAAATATCTGTGTGCTCATCCAGGGCTTGGGCAGCTCATGTTTTATCACCTGTTTCGAAGCATGTGTCCCAGTATGAGGTAGGTAAGAAGCAGAAGAACACAGACAGTGGCAGGGAAGAGATCTTGAAAGCAGCTGGAGTTTTATTCAAACTAAAACTGCCCAGAAATTTGTAAGGCAGGCTTTTGTCAGATAGTACTTCTATTAGATATGGTCAGGTATAACTCTCCAAATTAGCAGCAGTGTCCACATAGACCAGGAAGAGCATACTCTGAATCTGCCAGAAATTTCTCAGTGACTATTTAAACATATTTAATTTATATTTTTTATGTTTAAGTTGTGTTTCCCACTGTTGTGACAGGGACTTGCAAAATGTATGTGTATATACCCCGTGTGTATATATGTACAGGGTAACCCTAGTCCGTCCCCAGCATTTGCTCAAAATCCTCTTTAAAACAAGGGGGGGTTTTACACAAGAATGTAGTTGATCACCAAACTTCTAAGTTTATGTTACTAAACCTACTCTTTCTTAAAAGTAATGACTTTCTCAGTTGACGCTCAAAATTATGATAGCGGGGCAACGTTATGTGTTACTGACTTGCAGATTTTAAGTACCTTTATACATTCATTTTAACTTCAATAAAAGGTACTCTTTATTTTTACCCATTTTTCTAGATGCAGTAGAGTACAAATTCTGGGAGTGGTCTAAGGACATGAAGTGAGCTAACAGACACTCTTCTGTGTTGCTGAAGGAGGAAATGATGTGGTGGGGCAGATCAAAAGTGATAGGAAATTATCTGTTCTTGTATGAAGACATTGCTGAAGATGTAGCTTCAGTGGCACGCTCCTCAGCCTCATGATGGAATTGCATCCATCATCTGTTGTTTAGGACGGTTTGTGATTAAAAACTCTTGGAGCAAAGCAATAGCAGCATGAATGAGAGATGCCCCACACCTGCTAACACTGCTGTGTGTGTTTTGATTTGAAAGCTCTGAAAATGTGCTCATCCCAACCCCACCTAACTTCTGACCCTGTGGGCTCTATTATCACAGAAAATGTTGCTGGGGCAACACTCTTTTGGGGTGTAGCATAATGAGTATTGTTCCCTCCAGATGATTTAAAGAGAATAATTGCCAGCCTTGAGTTTTGTCCTGGAATGGGGCCATAGTGATATAAGACTTAGATGGCAGGAGGGTTGTAAGTATCTCAAAAATGTAGCCTGAAGTAAACAGTAGTGGATAGCTTTGCGTGTCATAACTGTCACAAAGTTATGCCTTTCCAAATACTGAGCTGTAAGATTTACTCAACCTGAGCCTAACAGTCCTTTTGGGGTAAGAATAAGGTGCTCTTGCTAAAACATCCTTATTGGGAAGCTTTTGCATGTGCTCTTAATATCTTACTAACTCTTAGAGAGAGAAGAGTACCTGGACCCAGGCACATTTTACCAGTGCTAAATCCAGTGTATGTTTCAGAGAGACAGTAAATACCAGAAGGTGGCAACACTTAATCCCTTTCAGCCTTCTGTAAGTGCAGTAGGCAGGCTGGAGGAGGAAACCTGAGCTTTGTGAATGTTCCCTGAGCACCTTTTCTCTTTTCAGAGGTCTGTGATACCACAGATCCACCTCAGCAGGCTTAATTTTCCTGCATTGAAGAACTGTTTTCCTCCCACTCATTCCGGTTAGCTATCATCTAATTAATTTTTTTCGTTAGGAAACCTTGGCAACCAAGCAGGGGATTGGCCTTGAGATGTTGATTTTTCTCTGCCTGCCTTAGTTAGTATTTGTATAATTGGAATTTTGCTGGTTACATGATCTGCTTTATTAAATTTGCAGTGATGTGGCATGCGAATTTTGATTATTTGTGTGTATTCCATGTATCCACAATCTTCTGGGAGCAAATAGTAAGTTTTGGACACTGCTGTCGCTCTCTCCATCTTAGCCAATCAGTCATTGGTCTTGTGATTTTCGTATTTCCATTAAAGACACTTCTCATCAACCCCTCTCGCCTGCAAAAAATCAGTGATCTGGAGGAGTCATATAGCAGAAAGGAAGAAAATAAAGGCATAATTTGTGCAATAGCTAAGATAGTATTAAAAAATGAGTGAGAGAGTGAGAAAAACCTATGGCTGTATTTCTGAGGATCAAAAGAGAAACCTCAGGACTCTTTGCAGGGGAGACTTGAAGGTTGCTGGAATTGCTTTATCAAAAAATTTCTAGACTGCTATAGGAAATGTACTGGCATGCAAAGGCATTTATAAAGATTAAAGACAGCCCCCCTGGACAGCATGAATTGAAAGCTGACAGTTGCTGTGTTAAATACACATACTACAGTTGTCTGAACCAATGGCAGGAGGATTACTTGGAGCCAGAAATGGCAGGAAGTCTCGTGTTAGCGGTAATGCATTTTGCATTAGCACATCATGATGGAAAATTTGGATTCAAGCCTTCAAAATATTAATAAGCAGGATGCAAGAAGGGTCTGCACATTAAGCAAACTATATGAAGTCAATGCAAGAGGAGTTTGTATTTGGGTTTCCTGTATATTTGCTTTCTGTTCTGTAACCCACCTGCATGTCATTGCATATATATGTGCATGTACACATATGTGTGTGTATGTGTATGCACATAACTATGGTTTGAACTGGGCAAGACTTGTACGTTGCCAATCTTGTATCAAATTTCCCAGGGTGACCTTGCAAAGCATCTGTAAGTAGTTTCCAAAAGCTCTGGGCCCCATAAGCGAAAGATCACGCTTTGTACTTTCACTTAACAGGTATTGCATCTGGAGATCCGTCACTGAGCATGCCTGCGAGGCTGAGAAGAAGAGTAATCAGCTTAGAGGCTTAGCTTGAGAAACCTCCGAGTCTGCAATTCGTTGACAGAGGACAGCAGCACCCGCTTTTAGCAGATGTGCTTTAGTCCCAAATTTCTGAATGTTATTTCCTCTAAAGAGAAGCCAGAGAACTCTGCAGCCTATTGTGTAGTGAGGCCCAGAGTGGGCAGTCTCTGGACGGGGGTACAGGAGTTTGCACCATGCGTTGTGGAGCTCATAGTGGTCTTGGGGAAGTTACCCTTCCTTCCTTTACTCTGCCTTAAATCCACACCTTCCAGGAAGAAAGCAAGAAACTTGTTGTAAACTTTTTCTTCCATAACACAGAATTTCTTGTAGAAAAGCCTCCCAAATCCCTAAGTTTTTGTAAAATGGGAATAGTATTCCCAAACACAAGCTCTGTTTCAGAGACTCCTAAATAAAGATGCTCAATAATTTTAATAATGCACTAAATTATTTTCTTCTTGTTGTAATGACAGGAACATTCCTGTGAAGGCAGTTTATGTCCGGAACAAAAACGTGTCCAAACAGAAACACCATCAAAGGAAAAGGTAGGTAAAAGATGAGTGAATGCAACACAGCTTTATTTCAGTTCATAAAAGTATCACTTGTTTGTTTAGATTATCACTTGTTCATTTACATATGGCAGTATGTCTGGGTGCTTGTTACATTCAACATAGCTCTGCTGACTACCTTCTCTTCCCTGTTCCCACAGTTAACTTTATTGAATTATCTTCTCAATTAATCTTACAAAAATGGGTGTCGTGGTTTAACCCCAGCTGGCAATTAAACACCATGCAGCCGCTCGCTCACTCCCCCCCTCAGTGGAATGGGGGAGAGAATAAAAAAAAAAAGTAAAAGTCAGGGGTTGATATAAAGACAGTTTAATAGGACAGAAAAGGAAGGGATAATAATAATAATAGAATATACAAAACAAGTGATGCACAATACAGTTGCTCACTACCCGCTGACCAGTGCCCAGCCAATCCCCAAGCTGCAGTGTTCCCCAACCAACTTCCCCAGTTTATATACTGGGCATGATGTCATATCCTATGGAATACCCCTTTGGCTCGTTTGGCTCAGCTGTCCTTGCTGCGTCCCCTCTCAACTTCTTCTGCACTCCCAGCCCTCGCTGGCAGGGCAGCAGGAGAAGCTGAAAAGTCCTTGACTTTGTATAAACACTGCTTAGCGGCAACTAAAACATCACTGTGTTATCAACATTATTTTCATCCTAAATCCAAAACACAGCGCTATACCAGCTACTAGGAAGAAAATTAACTTTATTCTAGATGAAACCAGGACAATGGGGAAATGTTTTTTTCCTTTCAAATATTCAGGGACACCCACATGAGCAAGGGAAGAATACGCTGTATAACAGCATCTTTGAAGAGACATACTTTTGGTTGCGAAGGGGTCTAAATCTGAACGTCGGTCAGAGCTTTTGGTCTGATAGATCCATTCATTCCCAGGACATGCTGCACAGCACAGCTCTTCTCTGCATCCTCTAAGAGCAGGAATAGGGTTGGAGTGGCTGTGTGCATGGTGTTATCCACTGTGGTGGGCTACTTTGCTTATTGGCATCTTATTTTTGAGAAGTTGTTACTAGAGGATCACTGTGGTTTGTTAAATTATGTTATATCATTATGGGGTCTGTTAGATGGACACTTAACTGCCAGACTGCATGCAAGAAACTTGTAATCAACCACACTCTTGACTCATTTACCAATAAATTTTCAAAGCTGGTTGGACACTGTAAGCTGCAGTAATGCCTTGACTTGAATTAACCTGATTTATAGCCGCTGGCATTGTGGCCTAGTTGTTTGTAGGTAAATAAAAGAATCTCTTTAAATTGGTATTTGATTATTTTCTTTCCTTTTTTTTTTTTTTTCCCAACAGAATCGCTCTACGCCCTTAATCAACAAGGATGGATGTCGTTTTTCTGAAGTTGGCTGTTCATTTAGGGTGAGTGCAACAGCTGCCTTCAGGAAGGTCTCAATTGGAATACAGCTCGGCACTGTGCCTTTTGTCTAGCCAGCCTTTGTATTCAGGGTAGTAGGCCTTGATTTATATATATCTTTAAGAAAAGAGGGAAAAATCTACCCACTTTTAGTAGACCAGCAGATGTGTTGGAACTGCCATGGTTACACAGTGTGTGTAAGGTGCAGTTCAGCCAGTGATACTCTGTGTCCTGCACTGCACATTCACTTCAGATAAAAATAGATGTTTATTACAGTTCTGCTGGTTTATCAGATATGCTGTTCTACTCTGTTTTGAATATTGCCATCAGCCTCTGAAAACAGTAACGGGTTGTCTTTGCATTTTAGTTGGCAGCTGTTGCCTTGTCTCATCTTTTGTGCACAGTATATGTATTAAATACTGGCTTGTTTGAGAATCTTGCTGGGACTCTGCCTGGCATCCTGTTTAATACAGAAATTGTAGATAATTGTTTTCTTTTTATGTAGCATGTGTACACATGTGAACACATAGCCTAAACTGATCATTGGAGGGCTTGTTGGTTTTCCTCTCTCCATGTCTCCTCTGAGAGTCGGCTGCTACATCGCTGGACCTGTATCTTGCAGTTTTTCCAACTCTGTCTCTCCCAGGAAGTCAAAGGGAACATTGCTTGATTTGGCCCCAGGCCAGCTATGGTAGTTGTACGGAGGGTGTATTGACAGTGTCTTCTTCTTACAGGGAAGCAAAGAGAAGATAAAAGAGCATGAAAAAACTGCAGTTGGGGCCCACATGCTGCTTTTGCTGCAGCACATAAAGCAACTGAAGGCAAGCTTGTGCACTGCTGCCAAAGCTGCAAATGGTTCCATCCCACAGTCAGAGCTGAATGTGAATGGTGCAGGAAAAAGCATCTCTGATCTGCAGATCCCAGGGGGGCTGGAAATCAATGGGGATCTGGAAATAGACTGTTTTCCTGGATCTTCTGTTTCTGAAGATGAATCTGTTCTGCAACAACTTGTGAGGGAGAAAGTGATTTCTGAGCTAGAAAATAAGCTACATGTGTTTGAGAATATTGTGGCAGTGCTCAATAAAGAGGTGGAAACCTCTAATTTGGAAATTACAGCCTTTCGGAGACAGAGTGAACTTGATCAAAATATAATAAGAGGCCTTGAACTGAAGGTAAATAGTTATGATAAGCATCGTCTGTGTGCTTGTTGTGTAGATAACAAATATTTATATACATCAGTGAGAGATGGTGTAGAGATCAGGACAGGGATGGGAACAGGAATTTGAGCTGTGAAGCATTAAGTTCTGGACACATCTACGGGATCCTTTTGGTGTTTTGGATAAATTTTCAAATGGGGATCTCTAATATTTGTTACCTAAATCCATGTTTAGGTACCTAGATATTCCTGAGAGTTTTGAATGTTCAGAGTTTGCCATGATCAGTCTGTGAGCAAGCAAGACAGTTGTTTAATTGACTGATCCTCTTAAAGCAGCATTATGCCTGGAGGACCAAACAACCATCTATCCAATTGATTGCCTTATGTGTTGACACATAACTGTCACTTAAAAAGAAATCAAAGGAGACCCTCCAGAACATGAGGACTCCAGAACGTTTCTGCTACTTCTGCAGCACAACAGCCTGGAGAGGGGGGTTGATTGGGAAGTGATTTGTTTTTTCTAGATTGCAGAGTTGCACCGGTGCCTGACGCAGAAGGATGCAGGCCTGAGCAGTCTTCATAAGAGTCTTCTGTTCTCTGAGCAAGCTTCCTATGATGGGGTCTTTCTGTGGAAAATAACAGATGTTGGCAGGAAGTTACAAGACTCTGTGACTGGAAGAACAGTCAGTTTGTATTCACCAGGTAAAACACAGGACATATATGTATGTTAGCAAAACCCAGTCCTTTAGAAAACCTACTGATTTCTCTAGAACGGTGCTTCTTTCTGCTCACATGGACAGGAGATCCTTCAAAATAGCTCCTTAAACTAAGATGCTGTTTATGCGAAGACCTTATGCTCTCCTGCCTATAATTCAGGGGAGCTGTGATATGCTCTTCCACGGACTTGTGTTCTATTCTGGGCTTTCATTTTGCAATTTGCCCTCTGCCGCAGCTACTTGCAGTGACATCTGCTGGATCCCTCTCGTCTAACCCACAGCTTGGTGCCTGATGGAACCGAATGGCTTTCTGCAGCAGTTATCTCCCATGTGAGAAGTAATTTGATTAGGTAAAATATGCTTGTGTGGCTAATAACAGGTAATTTTCACCAAGGCGTAAGGCACTAAAAGGATTCCAACCACTGGATTTTCATTGCTTATAATCTCCAGGGTGTACTGATTAGTCTGTTCTCATCTCTGTGATGGCAAAACACGTCATACGCTATCGTTTCCTATATGCCAGAACACTCATTATGTCTTTTTTTCAAAGGAGGCTTTACTAATGAAGATTTCTGATTTTCAGCTTTCTACACTGCAAAGTATGGCTACAAGGTCTGTCTGAGGGTGTACCTGAATGGGGATGGGACAGGAAAAGGAACCCACGTGTCCCTGTTCTTTGTTGTCATGAAAGGAGACTACGATGCTTTGCTCCCGTGGCCTTTCAGACACAAGGTAAGAAGGGCAACCTTTTCCTATCTGATCCTAGCATAAACCCACTATTTCTCCCAGTGAACACAAGGGGACTTTTTCTCTGGAGTTTAGCGGAACTTGGAGTGCTTTCCCATTTTCCTGTCCAATAGCTACTAGCCATAGTGTAATCTTGGGTAATAATTTGTCTCTGAATAGAGTGACTTACACACAGGGAAGGCTGCTCGTACCGAGATTCCATACTTTGCATTGTGGCATTTTCAGACACCACAGTACTGGTGCTTGATGTATTCCAACCAGTGTCCACCTGGGCTAAAGCCAGAGACACATTTTTTGGCTCTTGCTATACCTAGATAATATCAGTTCATGAGGGAATTACGATTTGCTGCCTGAAGCACAGGTGTCAGAAATGTGAGGTTAGAGTTCTACTTACAAACATACTATAGATGTCTTATGTGATCCTGATCTTATTTTTTCTCATTTTATAAGTGCTATCTGGTAATGGCAACAATGGTTAGAAAAGCAGTGAAAGTACGCACAGGGTTCTGATCTCTCTTATAGCACTTGCCTTCGTGTGGTAATAATTCTGTAAGCCTTTCATATAAATAGCCTTACTACCATTTAGCAGCCAAAAAAAATGGAAATCAAAGTTCCCAAACTTCACTGTATTAAAAAATTATTACATAGTTTTCACATTTAAAGCTAAAGAACAGTGAGTTAATAGAAGTGGTAATGAGATGGGGAGATTCTGTACTGACATTTAGGTTGTGTCTTCTACATATTTGTGTACAGGCAGCTGAACTGTTTCTTTTGATTCCAAACCACAATAACAGAATGAATGTAATGACTGTAACCAAACGCGGGGTTTGTTTAAGTTGTCAGGAGAGAGAGGAAAAAAGTCTTTGGACTGTGCAGTTCTCTACCAAGAAATAATTCTTTACTTTATTTAATTTTATTTTACGGGTGGCAAAGTTTTAAATACCTTATCTGGGAACCGCTACAATCTCCCTTGTTCACATTAACTGACCTTGCAGGTTGCGAAACATTCGTCAAAACATTCACATCAAAAAGCGCGCAGACAAGGCACTTCAGGACATGGTTTAGTGGTCATGGTTGATGGTTGGACTCGATGATCTTAAAGGTCCTTTCCAGCCTAAATGATTCTATGATTATAATTTGTCTTTAATTATCAACAGACCTTCCAGCTGCTTTTGCAGCATGTTTGCACTTCTGTCTCTGATAGTTTCTGGTTTATTTTTCAGTTCAATTACTCATCATTGCCACATTCTGTGTTTCAGGTTACATTTATGTTGCTTGACCAAAATAACAGGGAACATATTATTGATGCATTTCGCCCGGACCTGACTTCTGCTTCATTTCAGAGACCAGTGAATGATATGAATGTTGCAAGTGGCTGTCCCATGTTCCTCCCTTTGTCCAAATTACAGTCACCTAAATATGCCTATGTGAAAGAAGACACGCTTTTCCTTAAATGCATTATAGAAACAAATTAGTAAATCTTGAAATATGGGTGTCTGGTAAATCACCCACTGAATTTCATTAGTTTACAATTAAAAAAAAAGTGAGCTTGAGACTTGTATTAGTTTTCACGTGCACACAAAATCCAGAGAGCCTGCGCCTGTGCTCCACTGCATCACGCCCGCTGAAGATCTGCCTGCTAGAGTTATCTACTGCTGAGCATGCCAAGTACTTTGCCCAGTGCCCCATGGAGTGTGCTATTGCAAATGGGAAGTGTGATTATTTAATCAAAACAGCCAATGCTCCCAGTTTAGATGTAGACTACAGTCACGACACCCCCCCCCCCGCAGATGCACTTGTGGAAAAAGGCGCTGTTCTTTCTCACGCTTGGCCCAGGCGTGGGTGTCAATCTGCCTAGGTGTCTGGCAGGGAGTGCGGCCCGAGCTCCGTTCTAGCACCCTTGCGTTAACAGGTTTCTGGGATGCAAGGAGTGAAGCTGAGCTTTCTGCATCCTCTGGCAACGCTGTGGCGTGTGCTGCTCCCTTTCCTGGGAGGTACGGAGCGAGCATCTGTCAGACTGCGCTGGCTGGCAGCCCTGATGTGGGATTTTGGCTGTACCCCCACCAAGGGCAAGGGCAGATTCCTTCCTCCGATCAGGTATCTCTGTTTGTGCTTATTGATGACCTTGAAAGCAGTGAGTTGTGGATAGCATTGGTAGCTTGAATTCCTTATACCGGATGATTTATTCCTTGCTATTTATTTTAGACTTATATTTATGTGCTCTGTAAAGAGATGTTCTGTTGCATCAGCAATCAGTGACCAGATTACACTGTGCCTTGGGGAAATTACCTCTTGTATTTCCAAAGGAGTTGTTAGACTTTCCCATTACAGATATGGAGCTCTGAGAGTTGGTAACCCCCGGGAAGTCCAGAGCTGCCAGTCCAAGCTGTGGTAAGGACCCCTCAGTAGCTTTGTTTTAAAGTGTTCAGTCACTTCCTGAACGTTCAAGGCAAGTGACTTACTAGAAAGTAGCGATCTTTTTTTTTATTGCTTAATTCTTTTTATGTGCTCTGATGTTTTAAGTCTTTTCACACGCTAAAATAGAAGTAACTCCTAGAAATGTTTTTGTCTTTTTTTTTTTTTTAATAGAGGTAAGGAATGAATATATATTTTTTTTAATAAGCAAGTCAAACTTGGAAATGTCTGGATGTGTGTGAAGTTCAAATGCTACACCTTATTCCCAAAAAGCAGCAAGTCTCGCCCTCTTCGTTCCCTGGTTAACAATTGTTTGACAGAATCGATGGAGTTGAGCTGGGTTTTGGTGCAGCAGTTTCTGAACTTCCAGCAAACTCGTGCTGCAGTACAGCTTGCTTGTCCAGGACTTTGAGCTGTTGTGCTGAACAAGTGGGACAGCAGTGTGCAAACCCAAGGCCTGATCTTGCAGATGCAGGCAGGTGTGTATGTATAAGCGAAAGGCCTTTATGCAATGACTTCATTCGTTTTTCCTTTGCAATATATCCCATGTCTCAATTGAAAACACAAAACTGACAGACAACATTGTGCCCGCTGCATGAGAAGGGAAAGCAGAAACTGTTTGTCCGCTTATATTTTGCAAACCATGGAAACAGCAGCCATCTAGCAGAGCTGGTGAAATGTCATGTGCTGGGACTAACCTCCAGCCTGGCTGCCGGCGTATGAAGAGATTTTTCAAATCTCTCATTTCTATCTTGACAGCATCCTTTAAAGTAATTAGTTGTGATGAAGTATCAAGTTTCAAAAAAACCCATGGCATAAACAAATATCTATCGAAGCCTGTTTGGGAAGGAACTGGATATTCTTTGCCATCACACACACACAGTCTCTCTTCTGTCTGTCTTTCTCTCTTCCATGTTTAAAATGTTCTTTCAGGGACAGGAAGTTATTTTTCCAGTAATGTGCCAGCCCCTGTAACCACACTGGAGTAATATGCCTAAAAATACTGTGCTTTTCATGGCTGTGTAATTTTGACAAGTGCTGTATTTATTACAATCATTCATATTTTCTTATAATTTTATTTATTTCCTAAATAAAGGTCTCTAACTTAAAAAAGGGTCATGTGTTATTTTCACTGTAAAATAGGAGATTGAGCAACCTGGAGATACAATGATAGCGGTTTGCTATAGAAACAGCTGAGCAGTGCTGCAACACCCACTTATTTCTACTGTAGTAGCACCAAGCAGGTTTGCCCAGCGCAGGGCCCAGCGCACTGCCCGGTGACCCAGAAATAACCAGCGCCGGTCCCCAAGAGCTGATAATGCCAACAGTCAACCGAGGCGCTCGGGATGAAGTGCCTTGCCTGTGGTCCTGCAGGAAATTGGTGGAAACTTTGGGAATGAACCCTAAAGCATCTCTGCCATAACAATTGGGTCACCTTTTCATCGCCCCTGGCAGTTGGTGTTTGCATGGAAGACGCAATATATGGAGTTTTGACCCAGAAAATTGAATAAAGGCGCTACCCCCCTGCCAGCTGGGCTCGGTGCTCAGGGGGATCTGGGCGCAGGGAGGTGAGTGTGGGAGATGATGGCCTGATCCAGCACGGCCAGCTTATTTCCAGAGCCTCTCCTGGCTACTGCAGCCAGAGCGGAGCAGGAGGGAGGTGGCAGCTTATTTTACAAGAATTACTGCAGATTAAGATAGTGGTCGGCTCTGCCTGGTTGCCAGGGGAGCTGGAGTTGCTCCATACCTGTGTAAGCTTTCCTTGATCCTCCCTGGCCGCGGAGCTGCTTTTCCACTGAGGGTTTTTAATTAGCTGCTTTTATCGTAGTGGGCATTGACTTCCCACAGCGGCTTGGCTGCCTCTTTGCTCCACTGTTACTTTTTTGTGCAAAATCCTTTTCCACATAGAGCTGTTATTTCTTAATTAAGAGGGTTTTCCTTGGGTGTGAGAGACAGAGAGAGAAGGTGGGGGGAAATGAGTAAAACCGTGTGTGGGTGAGAGCTGGGGAAAGAGAGAAAGTGTGTGGGAGAGATGTGAATATGTGTGTGCGAGAGAATATTTATGTGTCTGCATCGAGGGAAGCAGAAATATATGTGTGTGCGTATGTGCATGTGCAGGTGGAGAGAGTGATCCAGCAGAGAGTGGATGACCTGACGCTTCTGTGCTTTTCTCTAGTGTGATTCCACCGGGAACAATTACACTGATTTTCTTCAAATCCTGCGCACAGCCAGGATTTCACTGATGGCAGGAGCCCGGTGTCGCTGCAGGCAGGAGGTCAAATCACACAGAAACCACACAAGCTGCAGGGAAGCAGAAGCATCGGCACCAGCCGAATGAATACCCTGGAGAAAGGATGTGATGCAGCAGAGCTCTGTCCATCCCGGTGTGACCGATACCAGTCTGTGCCTGTCCTGCCCCGGACACGAGAGCGGGGCAGGACGGGGTGAGCTGGGGACCTCGCTCGGCATCTCCCTTCTGCGGGGGGGAGCAGGGAGAGCCCGCGCAGCCCTCGCCGGAGCATCCTCCTTGGAGGTCGGGGCTGATGATGGAAGAAGGGACCCGCTTGGTAAAAATCAATTTTAAAAGTTTATTGGAAGCCCTTTAGTTCCAGTTTGCTTTCTAGCCAGAGATTCCCAATGGGGAAATCCTTGAAGTAAAATGGGAGGAAAGCTGCAAGGCTGCAGAGTTTGCAGGACCCTGTGCTCGTTGTCCCGCAGCGCAGGGCTGGGGCAGAGGTGCCTCGACCGCTTTGGTATGAAATCACCGGAGGATCGTTGTATGGAGCCAACTTTTGGGATGACTTAGGCCTGGATGGCATATGTCTGCAAAGGGAGGAAATTTGTTACCGGCTGTACTCGTGGGGCGGAGAGCTCACCGGTGTAAAACCGTCCCCGGGACGGGACGGGGATGAAGCGTTGCTTGTTTACAGCAGGTAAGAGCCAGCCTCGCGGGAAGCAGAGGCAAGCTGAACTGCCATGAAACTTGTGAAAGTGGCACGTTTAGTGTGGGCTCTGCATAACTGATGGAAAGGTCTTGAGGTTACTCAAGGCTGGAAAAGCATCGGGGCACCCTGGAGCCACAGGCTCAAGCCACGCGACGGAGCCCGTGCAGGAGCATCGTGGGCTGGATGAGCAGGACTGGCTCCGGGGCTCACCTCGGCTCCTGGAGAGCAAAAGCAAAGATTGGGATCCTGCCGTTTCTGCGTTGCAGGCTGGGGTGTGGGTTGGGAACACCCTGGTAAAGGGGGGAGCAAAATCCCCCAGGGCAAGCGAGGGGCTACCAGAGCCACCCGTGGGGCCGTGCCCCGGACTCAGGGGTAGCCGGTGGCAGGGGGGGTCCCCGTCTGCGCAGCATCGTACCGCACAGGCACAGCCCAAGTTCCTCTTGAACGCTGGTAATTACAGTTGCACTAACAGGCATTTATTTGCTTTCTGTAGTTCTGTAGCTGGGTAGGCAGTGCAAATATCCCCCTGTAAATATAGATCTTTGCTCTCCATTTTTCACTTTTCCCCAGGAACAAAATGGCCTTTTCTTCCTTCCTTTCTTAATTTCTTTCTTTTCTTTCTTTCTTTCTTTGTTTCTTTTTTTCTTGGGGGATATCTTTTCTGAGCCATGCTCAGGAACTGCAGACGTGTACATAATGTATCTGTGTCAAAATTATGTAAGGGCTCCATTAATATAAAACTTGCACAGCTGTAAGAACACTTACAAGCTCTTCATGTCTTATGCAATTGCATAGACGCATGCAAAGAAAGTTAAGCTAAAAAAAAAAAAAAAAGGATATGGATTAAATTCATGCTAAATAAACAATAAAAAGACATGAAACCCAATGCCTAAATGCTCTTCCTTTTAAAGGCACAGCTGGCATAAAACAGCTGAATGTCAGATTTAACTGCTCTGATTCTAATTACAACCATACCTTTGTTCGACTCTGCCCTTTGGTATATCACTTTTCTCTGAAAGGGCTCAAACAAGAGCTAACTCCCCCTGTGCTGTGGCACACGAGGCACTGCCGAGCATTACCGCGTCCATGTGGAATGCATCGAGCCGCAGCGCTTT